GTCTGGCGCACCGTCGCAATAACATCAACAAGAGTATTAAGCAGATGACAGAGTTAATGCCCACCGACAGACTTCTGTCTAATACAGACGTTATTCGCAAGCGTGAGATTGAAAAGAAGAAGGTGGAAGGGCTCAAGGAGGAGCTGGCGGAGATCCAGAGGGAGGAGCACGATTTGGGCTTGAAGCTCTACCGAGCCAATAAACGTCTCGAAAGAGAGGCGGCTTTTGAACCCTCATCTCTCTGGGTTAGGCGTGTCACATCATAAATAGTTGATGCCAGTGATAACGTTTTTGCCTGTGGGTTCGAGAGATGGTGTCTCTGATGTATAAGCAAGGCGTTGAGAAGATATGCATAGCGGACGGAGTTGGGCTTCTTTGTTTTCAATTCTTTTTATTTCTTGGAGCCACATGTCCATGGTTCTGGTTGTCAATCATACAGGCACAAATCCTTTAATGGTTCAAAAGACCAACTACAACGGACAAATAGACCACTGCCACTTGACAATGTATACAATTCACATCATGTTCCCCTTTAAACCGTGTTCTGGTAGGACATGTCGATACTCTTTTCTTCTGCAATACTAATAGCTAATAACACAGATCAAATTAATATTATAGAGTTTTTCACCATATGCAGGGATTCCAAACTTCTACTGTAGCACCATTTCAATGGTAGTCGAAGCTACCTATACCCAGCTCCTGGCCTTCCTAATACGCTGTTTCTTACCATAATGACCTCCTCACCACCGACCCAGGAGGACGTGGTCCATCACAACGCCCCTCCCAGCACCTCTGGCAGTAATCACCCGGCCCACCATCTTCAAGAGGGGTGATGCAAGCACACTCCTCGATTAGATAATGACGACAAAAGAGATAGACACCTGTACGAGGCGGCTGTGGAGGAACCTCGTCCTCTTTTGATTCTGTCGCCAAAAGCCCACGTACGCCGTCGACCAACTGTTCCGAGAAAGATCGTTTATTAGGTGTTTCTGAAGCAGAGTTTGGCCGCGAACCTCCCTGGTTTCCTTGGTCGAGCTCTGGTGAAGAGTGGTCCGACTCGGGAAGCCGCGGGAACGAAACAAGGTCGTTGGAGTAAGAGTCGACAGCGGGAGGACCAACATAGTTCCCTGCTTCATCGTAGTGATCTGAGGGGTAGGTTTGTCGAAGATTGCGGCCTCCATGAGAAGCAGAATATGCCCTACGATTCTGGTAGCTTGTGGCATATCGACCAGGTTGGCTGAAGTTTCCAGAATAAGAACATCTGGGGAACTCATATTCAGAGCAAGGGATGCTTCTGGGCTGGTCGCTACCAGAGCGGTAGCCCCTTCTGGAATACCCGATAGCCCGAGGGTGAGTACTGCTTTGGCTTTGAGGAATAGGCCTAGGATGCGAGGCGTTGATTCGAGGATTTGCCGTGGTATAATATGTTCCATGGGGACTTGGCCCTTCTATGTAGTAGGACTCCTCGTCTGTGAAATCTCCTTCATCTGCTGCGGACAAGTCCCCTGAGCAGTGCGCATAGGTGATTCCACTTGTGGACGATGCATATCTGCGAGGCTCAACATGGCCATAATCGACCTTACGGTATCCAGATTGTACTGTTTGAGCATGCGATGCACTCACAGCCCGTCGATGAGACATATTCGCTCCACGGACCTATCTCTCTCTGTTAGTTCTCTCGATCGGGCTTTGGGAAAACCTACCTTGGTCTTTTTATGATCGTTATGTTTTGGTTATTGCTTCCTGTGCAATGTGCTCGGTAGTTGCAGACCAGATACTAAAACAATTGATCACGAGAAGCTATTCTGTCGTACAGGTTACGTTACCGTCGGGAAGGGTCCTAGCAAAGCTTCTGGACAGTGTTTGTGTGTGGCTTGGAGTCTGACCTGAACGGGAGGTTTATTTATATATCAATATTCAGCCGATGCTAGCGAGGCCTTTGGATTTTTGATTCGTCGGCTGATAGCATTGTTTCGCTGAACATAGAGTGAGCTGAATGGAGATGCTTGTTCTCTTGTACGCCGCGGGGAGACGTCAAGCTTTGGCGGGCAGGAGCACGAACAGGTGCCTAGATCCGTTGTGAGAGGGAGAAACAAAAGTTATATCACGGTAATAAAGAGTGACAAGGCCAGACTAAACGCGTGCGTGATTCATGTCGCTCAGTGGCTGTCAGTCAACAGAAACAATCTCGAGGTTGTGCAACGGGTCACTCTTCATTTCGTCTAGGACTCCGTCTTACAGAACACAGTGATATCCAGTAGCCGTTATTCAACTCTAATCGTAAATGCCTGGTCCTTTCAGTTCTTTTCCTCTGAGTCCCTTCCCTGATAGTGCCTCAGTTTGATGTGATAGTGATAGTTGTGTACTCTTCTCCCATTAATCGCGGTATTCTCGGTTCCTAGCAAGGCAATTTCTTTGATACTGAAGACCGCAACACGAGTCATTTGAGGGACATTAGGGTCTGGGTGCTGCAACTCAACGAAACGCATGTTGAGCGAGATTATGTGCGGATGCCCTTCCTGCGCGATATCAACGCGGACGGAATCATGCCAGTCCAGCGGCGGGATAGGTCTTTCAGAGACCACATTCTCCACGCCTGAGATCATCATCATCATGCCATTATCGTCCTTGTAATCGATTTCGAAGGTAAGTTTAATGCATGTTGCGCTGCCGAAGGGAACTCGAAGATAAGATTTGTGATCAGGGTAAAGTTCCATGCCTTTGCAATGGTAGATACCTTCGGGGTGCCACTCTCCGATGGGTCCTCCAGAACCCATTCGAACTTCAACTCCGGTATAGGAGCGCTGGTGTCTCAGAGGTATACCCATGCCAATAACGGCGTGGTGGTGGTTCCAGGCATACGCATCTGTGCTGTTGTGAGGGAAGAAAAGGTTCTGGATTCCAGAAGACCACATGGGTCTTCTGACTGGGGGAAGTTCACTCCAATCAGCGGCATCGACATCGTTGTAGACGAAAATGTGGTGGGCTGTCTTTGGAATATCCTTGATAAGAGTTTCGGCGAGGACGCAGCGTGACATTGAGTAGAAGGGCCTCTGCTCACTGTCTATTCCGAGAAGACGAGGCTCGCCTAGAGGACCTCGCCCGCTGATGGACTCGAACATCACGGTGCGTGCCTTTCCGGCCACCTCTGATGGGTGTTCCGCCATTTATCGACTCCTTGACTTCGTGTGAGGTTAGTGATGTTGGTTATCATATACCTACTTTGGGGACTTACCACCCTATGCGGACCGCAGACTTGTAGGACCTTCCTCTTTTCTCTGTCGGTGAAGATTATGCACATGAAGGATAAAATCTACCTACCTACCTTGGTAGTTAAATAATCTGCTCCTCATGGTTTGATAGGTAGTTATAGTCTAAAGACAATGGCAGATGTGCGAAGCAGTGCCAACAGTTCCTCCCCACCAATTAGTTCAGTCTACACAATAGACCCTGATGCTTTGGGTCCAATATGAAAGATTCCAAACATCTAAAAGGATTGTTTTACAGCCTGCTTGCTAAATGGTCATGTTTGGTTTGACACTAAGTAAACTGGATTGTTCTTTTCCTCACTCACCACCAAGCGAAGCGGCGTTAAGCAGTAGTCATCAAAGTTTAGCACCGCGGAGACAAAGTCGAGATAAGACTCACCAGTGTGGGGGGTAAGTTAAGCTCCCTTCGATGATCGTTGTCAATCCTCAAAAAGATATCTTGGACAAGGCCTCGGTGCTCTCGGGGGTACAGCGCCGGGAAATGTGGGCTTGCTCGGTCTCCTTGTCCGCATCGATCGGAGCTACAGGGAATTGTCCACGTCTAAAAACAGCAACTCGAGCGAAGTGTTTCATGATTACCTCGTGCTCTGATTGCTTTGAAGCATGTTTTAGGTGACAGTAGAGACGGCTATTGTTATGTGAGAGTGTAAAAAGTTTTCTATAAAATGGATAAGATGATATAAAGTAAACCAGGAGAATCAAGGCTTTTACAGGCTTTTACAGACTACAGGCCTTTACATTTTTTTATCCTGCATCTCATTGTAGTGTATAACCTTAGTGTTCCCTCAGTTAGATCAGTCTTATAAAATCTTTGTATGTGGTGTGGAAAAGAGACGAGCTGGTTTTTCTGCCATATCACCGTGAAAAATGACAAGATAATGTGCTATTGATATAAAAGCAATTATAAGCATAAGGTGGTTTTTAAACCGAGATTTGAACCATTTTTATCTATTCAATTTCCTCCTGTGATTTAGTCGTTGCTTTTTCTGCTGTTCCTGGAATGCCCTTGAATTCACATGCAACAAGCAACGTGATGGAACCAAATGAAGCAGAAAGAAAGCAGACTGCAAGTCGCCTTTGGCCAGGATTTATCGGTCTTTTGAGTTATCGTCTAGGACAACTGGAGCGTTTTATTTCCGCTTGCTACAAAGAGTCACTCGCAGGGAACAAAAACAAAGTGTAGACCACGCACCATAGGAGCCTACAGAATAACATAACATCTTCCAGTTGCAGAAATCAGATGAAGCCAATGTCATAAATTGTGAAAATAAACTCTAGGTCTCATCTCCTACTATGAAGTCACGACGGAAACCACCATAGTGGCTGGGCGTCTCTTAGTAGCAAATCGCTGATATAGCTTAAAGTAATATAACTGACTACGGTACTTCACAAATAGATGGCCTCAAACAAGCCATCATTACTGTGGCGGCTGACATAACTTATTGAGTACCGAAACATCCAGGATTAATTCTCTAGATGTTAAGACCTGTAGTTGGAGGCCTTTCGTGTTATTAATATATTGTATACCATTAACCCCCAACACAAAAGCAATACGCATGCAGATTCTTGTTTCTAGTGCTCCCGGTCGAAACCGAAGCCAGGCCGAGAGACACAGCAAGGGCCAAGTTTTTCATTATAAATCATCACTCTCCGGACCAGTTTCTCCACGGTACTGGTGTCTCAGTGTTACCATAGCATTGAGCACATGCCTCACGTCTTCCATCGTCCATGATGATCTCGGAGGATATCCCAAGCGAGAGCAACACAGTGCTGATTTACGCCCCAAGTATTACTTTCTTCATTGTGACGCCTATCTTTATCCTTTTCCGCTTTTGGGACCGTGTAGCCAGGCGATCGATGTAAGTCATGCCCGATACTGGTACTCACAAAGCTGACACTAAAGAAATAGTCCTCGGCCTTGACTGTACAAACTGTTATGGTAGTCTCCTGCAGCTACGGGTTTGGTCGCCATATTGAAGCCTTGACCACAGATGATAAGTTGATGGCGCTCAAGGTGAGTAGCATCTACTACATAGCTTCTACAATGATTCACTTGATCATAACTCTAACTCCTCTAGTTATTCTATGTCGCCCAGATATTCTACAAACTCACTGTGAATCTTGCTAAAATATCGATACTCTTACTATATCTCCGCATATTTATCCAAAAATGGTTCCGCAGGTGCTGCTATACCCTCATAGGCACCATTGTCTGTTATATGTCTATAGCCTCAGCCTTATCAATCTGGCAGTGCAAGCCGCTCAGAGGTGCCTGGGATAAATCTACCCAGTCAACTTGCATTGGCCTCAACAAGAACTGGCACGCAAATGCTGGGTTTTCCATTGGCACCGATGCCTTGATATTGGCGTTATCAATGCAGTCTATATGGATAAGTCAACTACCCATCACGCACAAACGTGCACTCACGATGATTCTCACCATGGGTGGCAGTGTGTAAGTAAAAACCGGCCAGACAAGTACTAGGTGAACTCATTCTACTTAGTGTTATAGTGACATCCATCGTGCGCATGACAACTCTCGATCTGGCAACTAGAACTCTTGATACGACATGTACGTACCTTGCGTAGCATACAAAGTTGATCTTACTGACAGTGTTCTAGTCGATATTAACTCCACGATGTGGACGATAATTGAACAGAATCTAGCTATTATCTGCACATATCTCCCTATGTGCCGCATCCCCATCGCTATTATCCTCCCATCATGTTTCCCTAATTCAAAGAAATCATTACACAGTGTTTCTCAACGCGTAGATGGATCCCGAGTTCAGACTGGAGCTTGGAATCCTTATGTTGGGCCCAGAAGTGTACAAGGATTTACACGAAGTGTCGTACTTCCAAACGATGAGGTAGGTGAGGAAGTCATATTGGTCTCTCTAGAGAGAACTGATACGCCGTCCACATTGGCGAGTGCTGCTGGGGTGATAAGGAAGACTGTTGAGTATGGGGTTACATACGAGATTAACCCAGAGGCCAACCCCTAGGTAGTCTGGGTCAAGAGGTATATAGCAAACTTTCAGGTCTATGCATGCTGTTCTTCTCATTATTCCCATTTTACGAATCATCTAAAGTCATGTAACGGGGTGCAGCTTACTCGGGGAGAGCATAAAATATTTCATCCATGTTTTCTCATTTACAGATATGATATACACTGGGGGGGCCAGCGGAGAAACTAACTCATGCCCTCCATAAACTCAACGCGATCGAGAATCATCTGACGGTAGCCCATGTACTCCTTCAGACCCTCCCACTCAGGGCCTGACTCCTCTCCATGCCTCCAGGGCTCTTTGAAGCCCCAGGCACAAGCAATCTTGTCCATAGCAGCTCGCTCCTCTTCCCTCAGCCACCTGAGGCGCAGTGGTGTGCCAGGCGCCCAAGTCACACGCTTCATCTGATCCTTGTTACTTAATTTGGCAATCATACCCATTGATCCTACAACCAAGAAATATCCAGAAATACCAGCAACACCGAGGCCTGTTGCTGTGGATATATCCATAGTGTTCTGCCAGTAGGCAGCATATGCTGAAGCAAGACCAAAGATACCAAAGGGAAGAGAGCCAAGGGCGAGAGCAGGGGTAGTGGAGTGCTTGATAAGCTTCTGACGTTTGAATGCGGGAAGACTGAAGGAGGCCTCAACAACGCCCAGTGCTGAATCGAGATTCTTGGCGTCAATAGCAGTCTGCAAAGCCATATCGGCGACGCCTTTCTCAATTGCTTTGACTGCAGCGTTGGGGTTTGAAGCCACGTATTGGACTACTCCATTCTTGACAACCGGCTTCTTCTTGGTCGCAAACATCTCGAACACGGCAGGAAGCGACTCAGGCCGGCCTAGCGAAGCCTGAATAGCAACGTAGAGTTCAAGGAAGGCGGGTGTTATCTCGACATTGGGCTGCGACATGATTGCATAGGCCGAGTACGATATCTTTTTGACGCTATCGGCAAGTTGGGGGTCCATAGAATTCGGTCTTTGGCCAGTTCGCTCTGCTCCCAACTCCATGAGCTTCGATGTGGACGTCCGTGACTGGGCCTCAGCCCTGTGGATTTGAGGTTGGAGGGCTTGAGCAGCCTTGAGGCACGTCTCAAGCGCCGCAGTCGTCAGTTGCTTTGCTGGGATTCCATCTGTCGCCAGGAACTTCTCCTTTGTGCTCTCTACGATATTTGCCAGTTGTGTCGGATCAGTCAATTGTCGAGGGACTTTGTCGGCATCGGCCGGCTGGATATTGAGGTCTGGGTATGTTGATGCGGTCGCAGCCCATCTTGCACGCGGGCCCTTTATCGTTGTCCTTCTCTTATGGCGAATGACAGCTAGGAGTGTTCCGCTAACGAAGGCTTGGTTTGCAATTGTCGGTGCTGGTGTAAAAGCGCATTGGTGGCAGATATTGCCAATATGTCGGGCACCGACTCGTGACATGATTGTGTGCCTAAGGGATAATGGCCGATTTTGGTTCTAGAAGCCCAGTCGTTTCTCTATGCCCGATTGCTCGCGTCCTTCTTAAGTAAAAATCTTCCTGTCTTGTTTGTCGTTGATGCTATTTATTTAACGTCAGAAACCGACTTCGAATTTCGCAGCCATGATACGCGAGCGGGAAGCCCCACCTGTTGGTGATTGACAATTGTAATAGGCTGCTTACTTCCAAGCAATTCTAGTGGAAGCCAACTTTGTTGTAAGTCATATCGCGCTTTGAATACCTAGACAGGACCAGGTGCTGTGCTTGAAAGACTGCTCGTATCTTTCACAAATAGGTATAGTCGTCCTAATTGTAATGAAATAAATTACTTTATTTCTGACTTATGTTGTTATGGTCATATCAGTGAAGCTGTAAATAATAAAAGCCCAAGATATCTTCAGGAACTTTAGGTTGGAAGAAAGCGGGGCGCAGCCCAGACCATCCATGCCCAGCGTGTCCACTGTAAGTAGCGGTGCTGCCTTCCATTCTTTCCATGCGGCGTAAGCGTGCCATTGGCCATGACGAAACATGAGGTGGCTCTCGCTTTGGTGTATTCAAACTGATCCAGTACCTTGGGCTCAACCTTGACCTTCATATAACCGTTTCTTGGCTGGTCTTCACATTCACCGTTGTCTCCTCAGACTGTGTCGTAGGACTTGTATATAAACTCAAGGTCGGGACCCCACTGTCCAAGTCCGAAGACCCCGACTATCTCTTGTTCTTCCGCAAAACAACCTCAACCACCTCATCCCACGCAGTTCAGGACATAGAACGACTCCGCGATGCCTCCTCCACCACCTCCTCCTCCTCCGCCGCCGCCTGGTGCCATGGGTGGTCCTCCTCCGCCGCCTCCTCCTCCTCCTCCAGGAGGTCTTCCTGCCCGCCCGCCTGCTGGGGCCGGCAACAGAGTATGTTCATTTACTGCATACCTTCGTCCGTCGCTATAGTTAGCTTGACCAGAATCTGACAACCCTCCAGGGCGCACTTCTATCAGATATCCACAAAGGCAAAGCCCTCAAGAAAGCTGTTACCAATGACCGTTCAGCACCTCAAGTTGCAACTACATCAAATTCGTCGGCAGCTCTGCCTGTTGGCGGCGCACCTCCTGTCCCCGGCTTAGGTGGTGCTCCTAAGCCCCCAGGAGGCCTAGCACCACCGGTCCCAGGAGGACGAGCGAGGAGTAATAGTGATCAAGGATCTCGCGATTCGACGGCAGGCCTGGATGCCGCGCCGCAGCTGGGTGGTCTTTTCGCTGGTGGAATGCCCAAGTTGAAAAAGAGCAGGGGAGGCATTGACACAGGCGCAAATGCTGATTCTTCATATCGATCGGATCCTGAATCTACTACCTCAGCACCCAGACCTCCAGTCGGCTCCGCACCAAGGCCTCCGTCAGCAGTTGCGCCAGCAATTCCGGGGCGAGGGCCTCCGGTACCGCCTCCAGGAGGAGCAGCAAACTTGAGAAAGACGACACCAGTGGGATCCAAGCCTCCTCCTCCTCCTATAGGAAAGAAGCCACCACCCCTGCCGACGTCAAGAAAGCCTTCGTCAATGTCTCTACCACCATCCGCGCCATCACCATCTTCAGCGCCTCCTGCTCCACCACCACCTCCGCCTCCTCCGTCAAACAGTACATCGGCTCCTGCTGCTCCTCCTCCTCCTCCGCCTTCTGCGGCACCTCCTTTGCCGAGTCAGTCGCCGGCCTCACGATCTTCAGTACCGCCTCCTCCTCCGCCTCCTCCTCCTGCAGCATCACATTCGACACCATCGCTTGCTGCAGTAGCTGCCATTCGCGCCGCTGGTCAAGCATCTCCAAGCGCGGCGCCTCCTCCTCCCCCACCTCCACCTTCTGGATCAGTACCAGCACCTCCAAGCGCACCTTCACCCCCGCCACCAACGACACGTTCTCGAGGTTCATCCCTTCGTCAGTCCATGTTGGATCCAAGTATGTTCACTTTGACAGCCAATGGGGCAAAATCCCCAAGCCCGAAGCACTCACCAGCACAAACGCCCGGTGTTGGAAGTGGGGCACGTATTATGATCAACGACTCTAGGTGGCAGTTCAAGGATGAAGGTTTGTTCCCGAAACCCAGGGACTTCGTAGGTGGAACAAGAAAATATAGGGCAGGAAGAGGCAGCAGTGTACCGCTGGATTTGAGTGTTCTGTGAGTATCATACACCTCAGGCCCATAGAGCTGTGCTCTCTCAAACCGTTTGATGATCACACTATGCTATTCATGATGAGATGAGCATCATGCGATTGTTAAACAGATAGGATATTCGAGATAAATATGACTCGGCATCTCACATAGTATGAAGTAGTCGAGGAGATTTGGTGTTTATCGTGAAACGATGCTGGTCATGAGTTGAATCTATTGAATCATTTTCTTCATGCCGCGGTATGGTACAGTCGAGTTATATACTCTTACGTGGTGTACATGTATAGATAACCATCTCAAAGTTACATAGACTTGAGGTAGTTGGTTTCCTTGATCTTGGCCCTTCTCTCCTTTCGCATCGCCTTCTTAAGTTCCTCTCGCTTTTGTGCGGCCTCAATGTTATGCTCGACTCCTCGATTCTCCTCTCCGAGGATGTTAACAGACTGGCGTTGAAGAGGAATCTTAGGAGCCAGAGCCTCGAGATTACCCTCAGCCAACAGCTTGGCCTCGAGGGTCTTTTGACGCTTGGCTGCCAGTTTTCTTTGCTTCTTTGACTTGGCTTTAGTGTCGTTAGTGATGTCTTGGCTTGTGGTGGGATATCAGGTATAAAACATACAGAATTCGTCACCAGCATCGGCATCCGCCGAATCGGCACTCTTCTTCAAGACTTCCAAACAAGACCACAGCCATTCTGGGTATTCATCGTCATTCTTTGCGACAGGGTCCTGTCCACCCTTGGTATAGTTTAAGCCATTAAGAACAGTTCCAGGTGCACATGATGATCGTGCAGCAGGGACATCCTTCTGTGCCTCACCAGGCGCTGTAACGGGAGTCGAAAGTTGAGGTTCGGCGGAACGGAAATTCGTCGTTGTCGAGAACTGTCGAAGAATCGGCTGCGAGCGCCGCAAGGAGGTGGCGCGCAGACACCGA